CTTCCTTTTAAACTTTATTGTTGAAACCTGTTCCTTTCTTATTTTCTTTTCCTACCACCACACCTCAAATCTGGCTCTTTTTTTAACCTCTGCCCAGACATTCTGCCTTCTTGCTGCCCTCTCACCTCTTCACGTTTTCTGTTTGGCCCAGGGACACAATGAAGGAAGGCAGAGTCCTGCACATATTCAGAGCCAGAGCCCCAGTGATCTGTGCTTTCTTCATCCTTTTATTGGGGTCCTTTTGAGCTCTGGGCCTTGGCTTAGAGTCCTTCTGGGAGAACATGACTATGCTTTCTTTTTACTCTGAGGCAGGCGAGTGTCTACCCAGAGGGCCTCGGAGTCTTGGTAGACCTTGGGTGAGGTAGCTAGGAGAGAACAGGAAGGAGTGAGGTTAGTTTCAGCTGGGATAACCCCCAAAGCTGGGGGCTATGGTGGGGGCTTGGCTGGAACTTTCAATGCTTGGGCTTCATCCCTGGTCTGGGTGGGAGGTGGTGTGGGGAGGTGGGTAGCGGAGGCTGGTCTGTGAGTGAGGTGGGCCGGGGCAGAGCTGAGGGCAGTGGGCTCTTACCTCGCCATCTCTGAAGCCCCAGGTACAGCACTGCAAGAAGAAAAAGGCTGCTGACAAAAAGGACTCCAAAGGCCATAGTTCGCTGCTCTGTAGGTGAGAAGGGGGTTATCATGAATCAGTGGGCAGGAACCAGCTCTGAGCCTGTGCAGCAGGAGGACAAGGGAGTGTGTCTGAGTGTGCGTGTGAGTCCCTGGATGGGGGGCTCATATCAAGAATTCTGCTCTCATCCAGGAACTGCGCACACAGTAGCATTTGTACTTGCTCAAGGTTGTTGGATGCTTGTGTGTTACTCCACACACAAGCCTTTACCTTTTCCCACCTCAGGACAACATTTTTTTTATTGCTTTGCAAGAGAAATCTAGATTAGATAGTTGTTGACAGTTACACTACAATTTTATAAATAGCTTGAGAGCGATGTGAGCCAAAACAAAACCCCAGCCTCAAATAATAACGCCCAGTGCTCCGGGATATTTGCATTCTAGGTACTGATTCTGTCCTGTTTAAAACCTTTTAATAACATTCTGTGGCTTCAGGATGAAATTCCAGCTTGAAGGCCCATTGGTATCAGCCCAGTAATAGCAATGGAGGGTTTAAGGCTGTAGCGTAATCAGGCTGCCGCTTTTTCACATTTTACCCTTTACCAGGTAGGTGACCTTGGGCAAATTACTTAACATCTGTAAGTGCCAGTTCACTCATCAATGGGAGTCATGATAATACATCTAAGTGCTTATCATAGTGCTCGATTCATGTAAATGCTCAGAAATGTAATTACATCTCAAGCTTTAGGCCAGTTCCCTCTTTTCCCACACCCCCTTGGTTCTAGCTGTGCAGTTCCCCAAGTCCTCTCTAGGCTGCTTTATATTTGGCCTTCAAACATGCTGTTCCCTTTCCCCTTGAGCTAGCTAACTTGGTTTGCATGCCCTCCCCCTGTCTTCCCAGGCCATCTTCCCTGCGTGCCTAGGCGGTCCCTCCAATTGGACTAAGCTCCTCAAGTGCAGGATCAGGAGTTATTCAACCTTCATCTCCAGCACACTGCCGCCTGGTGCCCTGGCACCTGGGGTGTCCCAAAGTCTCCGGATGTATGGAGGCTGCTACCTTGGGAAAGAAGCTGGGACTATGAACATAGCATGGTGGGAAGCAGAGCAAAACCAAAGATGAGCTGGGGGTAGGAGAGCCATGAGCCCAGAATAGAGGTGGGGAGAGGAGGGTACCCCAGTACCTGGTGGGGCAGCCCAGGCGCTGGTCTCAATGGGCTCATCCAGGGAGATGTGGGTGACCTGGCAAGTGTAAGTGGCACCTGCAGAGCCAGGTTCTGCCGTCAGGGAGGAGGAGATGCTATAGGTGCCCTCTGAGCTTTGCCGGAGGCTGGAGAAGGAGGCATCTGGGACTGGGACTGGGACTCCACCCAGCTCCTCTCGGGTCCACGTCACAGTCACGTCCAGAGGATAATAGCCAGCGATGTTGCAGATGAGGGTGGGTGGCAGAGCTTCATTTGCCAAGCCCAGTCGTACTTTGGGGGAAGCTGGAAGAAAGAATAAGATTCCAGAGGGACCAATGGGACAGGGGAGGAGCCTGAAGCCTTCTTTTCTTGCTGAGAGTGACATAGGTTGTGGAGGCTGAAGTTTCATCGTCAGTGGAGTGCCAAGGGGCAGATAGGGAGTCCACCCTGGCTGCAGGCCATAAAGGGGCACATCTTCCACAGGTAATTGAAAAACAATAGTAAAACCAGCTAAAGGTTGGCTTATTATTACTATAAGCCAGTGGTTTAAAAGGGTATCAGTGATGAAATTCTCTCGATCAGGACCACTGCCACTGCCCCTCCTCGGTTTGCTGCTGCTCCTTTAGGATGTGTGATTGGAGGCAGCTAACCAGGGCAGGTCAGCCAGATCCTGGGCTGGGAAGTTTCTTGATGGACTTTTCCTGCAGTGTGACAGGAAACAATCTGATGCCATCTGCGCTTCTAGGGTGGAGATGGCATGTAGGTTTGGGGATGCAGTCTGCCTCTCAGGAAATGCCCTTGTGTTTGGATTCCATTCTGGAAAACACTCTCAAGAAGCATATCCCTTCCCCTCTCCCCCAGATAAGCCAGTTCTGGCCTCACCTTGGACATGGAGCTGGATGATTTGTTGAGCTTGGTACAGAGAGGTGGTGATCTGGCAAACGTAGGACCCCTCGTCCTTCAGGGTGAGGCTGGGTAGGTTGAGGGAGGCGTCCCCAGCCATGAGGTGCTGCTCAGGCTCCAGGGTAGCGCCCTGTCGCTTGGCCTGCCCCTGCCCTGTAGTCCAGCTGTACACCAGCTGGCCACTGCCTTTATGCTGCAGCCGCCACTCCACTCTGGTGAGGTCCAAGCCTGGTGCCATGGAGAAGCCACAGTGCAGGGAGGCAGAGGACCCCAGAAGGAAAGTCAGGGATGGGGTACTTGTTGTCATCTGGAACTCCACTGTGGTGAGAGAAAGAGATGATAGTGGACAGCTTCCCCTGGAGGCCAGCTGATCTCTGAGCTATGGGCATGTTGTGGGCATACATCTTCCCCTGCCTCCTTTCCTAGACAATGAGCCAGTTGAGCTCATTTCCCAAACTGATGGAACCAAAAAGAAATGAGGCCCCGGAAAGGCAGCCTGGCACATGTGGTAACCTTAACTATTTTGGAGTCCCTGGGTAATCTTTTGAAAGCTATGGACCTCTCACCAGGAAAATACACATGCAAAATTATGGATGACTGTCGACTTTCGGGTAAGAACCACTGGAGTAGCAGAAAACATTTTGGAACCCTGGTTCGTCCATGTGATAGCTCTGTGACCTTGAACAAGTCATTTAGTGTTGCCAAGCCCACCTGCTAAAGGTGAAGACTAAGTAAGAGTTTAAAAAGCACATAGTACGCCTGGCCAGAGTGTCTCAGTTGGTTGAGTGTCGTCCTGTGCATCAAAAGGTTGCTGGTTTGATTCTTGGTCAGGGCACATACCTGGGTTGCAGATTTGATCCCTGGTCAAGGCATGTACAGGAGGCAGCCGATCGATGTTTCTCTCTCTCCCTGAACATGTCCTCCGGTGAGGATTAAAAATAATAATAAAATAAAAACAGTATTAGTATTTGTGTTAGACGTGCTGAACTTAAATCTAATGAGGAAAACAATCAGATAAACCCAAATGGTGGGATATGCTCTTCAAAAATGTCAGGGCTACGAAAGACTATTTTGGAGTAGAGGAGCCTAAAGGCACAAGACAACTAAATGCAATGCACGATCCTTGTTTGAGTCCTGGACTTTACAAAAACCAGGACGCTATAAAGAACATTATTGGGGTAATTGGAAAAGTTTGAATTTGGACTTTACACTTGACAGTATTACTGTATCAATTTAAAAGTATCAATACTTAAGTATGATGCTCAGTGGTGTAGCAAGCGGTTGGTAGGTCTGGTAGGTCGGAGGGGGATGGGAAAGGACTGCCCTGGCAAATATGTGCTTAAATTCTTGACACATTGTACTCCCTTGTCTGCCCCACGGTAGACCACTCCCCACCTTGGTTTGCTGAGGTGATGGTTCTGTGATTATGAAAGAGAATATTCCTGTCTTTGGTAATAAACCAAATGCTATAAACCACATGGTATACATGGCAGCATTTGGGGGTGAAGTGTTGGGATTTCTGCACCTTTCAGTTAGTTCAGGGGAAGTCTATCTATCTGTAGAATGTGGCCAAATGTTAGCAATTGGTGGATCCAGGTGCATGATAAACAGGTGTTCATTATATTATTCTTTCACCTTTTGTAGGTTTAAATGATCCCAAAATAAAAAGGGAATATCTAGCTATACCAGGACTATGGTTTAACTGGACAGACATGAGGACCCCTCTTTTCTGATGCAGCAGGATAAATGTAGGTTGGACCACAGAAAAGCTGAGTGTTCTGGGGCTTTCTAAGGATAGTTGGGCAGCTCCCTAGTCTTTTTTTTTTTTTAATATATCTTTATTGATTTCAGAGAGAGGAAGAGAGAGAGAGAGAAACATCAATAAGGAGAGAGTCCTTGATCAGCTGCAGCCCGCAACCCGGGCATGTGCCCTGAGCGGGAATCGAACCCTGATCTGGATCCTAGGTCGATGCTCAACCGCTGAGCCACGCCCAGCTGGGCAGCTCCCTAATCTTTTGGACTTGGTTGTCTCTTTTTGGAGGTAAAATACTAGATTCAGTGAACTCTGGGGCAAGCTATCATCATGCTCTCAATCTCCTGTGCCCCCTGGGATGTGCTCAGTTGGAGAGGGCAAGAACCAGGTTTTACTAATAAGGAATAATGAATAAATACTAAATCCCTGTTCTCTGCTCTAGTCAAACACCAGACCAGGCTGGCTGTTCACTGGGAGAAACGGGTGCTTGGCCCATTCAGACTGCTACATACAGCAAACATGAAGGGAGCGTCACATGTCTTATTTCCTCAGGCAACACAGTGAGGAGAAAATTATCCCTGTTTTGAGTCTTTTGAAAGAAAGGACCAAGGTTGAGGGGATACCCTGAGATGACTGTAAAAAAACCAAAACTTTCTACTTTTCATTTTCTCACCTGCAGTCAGCACAGTTCCCTGGGGGCTCAGGGGTAGGTTCAGCGTGGGGTGCAAGACAGCTTTGTTCTCAGCGTCCCCGAGAGTCTTCATCACTAAGGAGACACTGGGTCCCCCTCCAGATAGCTGCATGTTGGTGATGAACCAAGCTGCTGTCTGAACAGCGGCCTCTTGTCTGGCCTGGAGAAAATAGCGGGAGATCTCACAGGTCACCTCCTTCTCACTGCAGTCAGCATGGAGCAGGGCCTCTGCATGGGGAATCTGTACCAGATCCACTGGGGGAGATGGGCGGATTGAGATCATGGGAAGCGGATGTAGGTGGGTGTACTGGGACCTGGGCTGTCCCAGTGGAGGGAGCCCAGAAGGACTGGGGCACAGGGTGGAGGCTCTTACCTGAAGCCTCAAAGGTAACAGGTGGGTTGTCTTTGGCCACTGAGCTCATTTGGAAATTGGCGAAGCCTTCCAGGGAGCCATCGTCCAGCACTGGCACCTGCCTCAGCACCAGCAAGGCCTTCACCATGTTCTTATTGCTGGCAAAACCTCCACGGTGCTTGCCTTCCTCCACCAAGAAGCAGTCCAAGACCACATCCACTGCCCGCCACTGCCTTTCTGCTGCAGGGAAAAGATTGGGATGAAGCTGCACCCTTCTGCCCAGAAAGTTATTTCTGTACTCACTACCTGCCCCAACTATGGAGCCATCAAGGGTAAAAATTGTCTTCCAGGGTCCTAGCTATCTCTGTGTCCGGATCTTCTCTTGTCATTCTCCCAAACCAGCTTTCTGGGAAGCACCTGCCTTGCCAGGAACATACTTCTGTGTGAATTATTTAAAGTCCTGGATTTGCCTTGCTCAGACAGGTTTATGCTTTTACTTTTATTTCCAACCATCGAATGAGAAACTATGTTCAAGCAAAGGAATTCTCAGCAAAAGCAAATAAAAGCAAAATTGCCATTGGGGGGGAAGACGAGACACCTGTGCCCCCGGGGGTGTTGGCAGCCATCTTCTCAATTTCCCGCCGGTCGGCTCTGCCCTCTGCGGTAAAGTGGCCTTCCCCTCTCCCACCTCCGGGGTCACTTTTCAAGTGATTTCCTAGCTGGGGGACCCCTTCCTCCCCGAAGGTGTCCTCTCTCCCGTAGGACAGTGGCTCCCGCCACCCTCACTGTGAAGGCCCCTTTTTCACCACCCTTCCCAGCCTCTCTCCCCAACACAGCTGGTTCCTTTGTCAGCCACTGAGCCTTTCTCCAGTTGGGCTTAGAACTGACAGGCTCCTTTCCGCTTCTGTAATCCGGGAGGGTGGCTCTCTGGTGCTTCCCTAGCCCAACACCTCCCTCCAGCCTGCTCCCCACTCACCGGCGTCCGCAGCTCCGGACAGAACCAAGCAGAGCAGCAGGCACCACTCTGCGCCCATGGGGGCTGCTCTCAGGCCCCCCGCTGCCCTTCTCCACAGCCTCCCTGTGGAGAAGACGGGGGTCTCTCCAAACACCCCTTTGTGGCCGACAACCTGTCCGTTTCTCTTCTGTCCTACTTCTCTTTTATTTTCACTTTCACTTTGAGGACGCCCCACTGCGGCTCCCTTTGCCTCTAGGTGAAGCCATTTCTTGCTGGTGCCAGAGTCCTGTTCACGGTTGTCCTTTCAAATACCTCCCCCCAGTAATCCCCTGGGGATTTCAACACCTGACTTCACTGCGTGCACCCTTTTGCTCCCCACTATCCCCAAGAAAGGAGATGTAGGGAAAAGGGGGAAGGGGGAGGAAGGGAGAGAGGGAAGCTAGAAGCAGGAACCCCGATAGTCTGGGAACCTTTTCTCACTTTCTGTTGGTGCCACTCCTCTCCCCGCTTCCCCACTGGGCAGGCCCCAACACGAGTCTGCAAAGGGGAAAGCTCTTCCCCCAGATCCCTGATAGATGCTGGGAGTGGCCTGCGTGGGAGAAAGCTCCTCCCTCAGATCCCTGGTAGTAGGTGAGGCTAGGACTGGCCTGCTTTGTGAGACTAGAATTTCAGAGAGGCGCTATGTGGCAGTCTGTAGCTTTATTTTGCTGAGTGTCTACAGCATGTGGGGCTTTCATAGTCTGAAGTGTGTTTTACAACTGGAACCCCTCCTCCCGCACAGAGGTGGAGCTGGCCGGGCCAGGGCACATCCTCCTTCCCACCCTCTACCTCCCATGTCTCCTTGTCATTTCCAGTCTCACAAGGTACTTTCTCAAGTCTGAGGGTCCAGAGAGCCTGGTCCTGAAATTGGGGGTGCTGGGTCTCATCGGGTGGCCGGCGGGCTGTGATGGAGGCTAGGCCTTTACTGCAGTGATGACCCCGTCTGGGGAGTGCCAGCTCAGAGGTAGGAAGCAGGCTCAGGTTTTCGGTAATCCTCCTGGATGGGGATGGCATCGCCTTCTTCCTCCCTGGGGCAGCTGTAAGGACAAGGCTCCGCAGGCACCGCTGGGTTTTCTCCTTTGTCTGCAGAAACAGACGACTCTTGGCCAGTGGTCAGGGAAGGGGGTGAAAGGAGAAGGGATAAGCAAAGGAGGTAAGCTTGGGGGAGGGCTGTCAGGAGGGCCGCAGCCAAGAGGAGAGGAAGATGAGGCAGAAGCCAGGGTTGGTGAAGATGGAGGTGGGGAGGCTCCCCCCGACGTCCCAGGCGTGGATGGCTGGGCTGAGAAGGTGGGGTGGGGTCAGGGACAGGACTGGAAATCTGTATTTTGTCTCTTACTTCCTCCGTATCTTCTTTGTTGATGGAGAAACAGGGCTCCGACCGTGGTGAAAAGGAGAAACATTCCCGACAGGATCACAAAAATGCGGATGCAACCTGAGCTGCACAGGGACCTCTGGGCTGTGATAGGCGGGGACCACACAAGGGTTTGGGGGTGGGCCTAGCCCTTGACTCCCTTTGGCACAGCCCCCCCACCATCCACGCCTCCCCTCCTCCAGCCCTCCCCTCCCCCACCACAGGACCAAGTCCTCTCCTCATCCCTAGACTCCGCTCTTCCTCTTATCCCCCCACTCCTAGGAGCTTTCTGGCTGCCTTCTCTCTTGGACTCTCATATCTCTTGGAGTGGGGAAGGTGGAGAAAACTCACGTGGCCGTTGAGTTGAGAGAGCTGGGGCAGGCGGCCTGAAGTCAGCCGGAGTCTGCATGTGCCTGGCTGTCCTGGCCTCCAGCATCTCTGGGAAAACAGAGAGAGTGAGCAGCGGCAGGGAGCCCACAGGGAAAGGCTAGGCTGAAGGCCTAAGGGCCTGAGACGCATAGGATGAGATGAAAGAGCTGAGGCAGGCCAACCAGGCAGCTCCTGTTGGGGTGGGCACAGAAGGGGTGCTACTTGAGAGTGACCCTTACCCAAAGTGACTGGACAAAGAGTTTTGTGGAACTTACTTTTGGTGTAAGGTAAGTGGGTGGGTTGTAGGTGTGGGCCTGGGGCCTGTGATAGGTGAGGGGTCGGTGAGGGGTTTGGAGCAGGATCACACTCAGTACATTCCTCGTCCCTGCACTCCCAGCCCTTGGGGCAGGCACACACAGCATTGGTGGTGAGGGTGCAGTTTCGAATGAGATGACCTGGGGACAGAGGAGGCCAGAGGAACACAAGATGCTCAGAAACCTGCAAGCTCCACCTGCTTAATCCCATCCCCCAGGCCCACCCCACCCCCACAAAGGCTAGCCTCTCCCTTACCATCACCCAGTACCTTTGCCATGAGCGTTATTGTTATTAAGGAAAAAACTTGGACCTTTTAGAAAATTCATGGTTCAGAAATAGACACTCTGAAAAGTAGAAACAGCTTACATGATTTCCTCTTCCTCACTGAGACAATTGCATTATAATATAGAAAGGTATAAACAGAAGGTGACCAGTAGGGACTGGTCCTGAGGGTGTCTGCCAAAGGGAAGGGCAGGGCTAAAGGAGGGGCTGGGATTGGGTAAAAATGGATGAAGTGCCATTGTTTTCAGTGATGAGTATCCAGAGGTCTGAGGGTTTTTTTCTACCATGTGTAACCTGTGCTCAAAATTCCAGGCTTTCTGGTACGTCTGTGTCTTACAGATGGGAGGGAATCCTGATGTCAAAGGGGACCAAGCTCATTCAGCCTCCTCCTGGTCTCCCTCTCCACCCCCACCCCGCCAGTCCTGCAACCAGGTGCTGCCTGAGTTGGAACCTATGGACTGTGTCTCACAGAGAAGGGTCATGGATTGGGCTGATCTGGAACATAGCAAAGGGAGTGTAGGCTGGCTCAGTACTGGAGACAGGCTTTCTGGTAGGACCTGCAGAGTGACTGGGGCAGGTTTTGAATTTAAAAATTCCAACCCTCCTTGTGTTGCCGTCAAGAAGAGGAAAACCATCAACAATCCTACTCTTTAAAAAAATTTTTTTTTTTTTTAATATATATTGATTTCAGAGAGAGGAAAGGAGGGGGAGAGAGAGAAACATCAATGATGAGTCATTGACCGAGGCCGCAACCCAGGCATGTGCCCTGACTGGGAATTGAACCCCAATCTCTTGGATCCCAGGTCGACGCTCAACCGCTGAGCCACTCCCGGCCAGGCAACAATCCTAGTCTTAAATGGACTGAGGAATTCTGTGTATTGAAGATGTTGCTCTTTGGTTTGCAATGGCAAAACCCTTTTCATTTATTTAGTTTTTAAAGAATACAGTGTTAAAAGCCTAGTGAGACCAAACACATTTTACAAGCAAGTAGTGGAGTAGTTCAGTTAAGTAGTCTTCGCAAGTGTCCTGCTGCAGGACATTGTTCAGAGGGTCCACTTTAAAATCTGCTAGTCTGTGTGCTGGCACCTCATTTCTGAAATTCTAGCTAAAATGGAGAAATAAAAGGATTCCTAACAGCCACAGATATTACGCATAATAGACTAATTCTCAGCAGTCCCTCAAATTTAGCTTACCCCTTCCCTAAACTAGTTCTCCCCATCACATCAACATACCCGCTCCCAGGATGCCCTATCCCCAAACATTGGCTCCACCTGCCATAGCCTTGAAGCAGCTGAAGCTCTGGCTCTACCCTGTGTTTGCTCCCCCACACTCAGCTCTGCCCCCTTGCTCCCCAGATGCTTGCCCATCTCACCAGAGTTACAGTGCCGGCAGTTCTCACAGTGGCTTCGGGTGTTGTAGTCTGGTGAGAAGGAGATCCCTAGTGTACACGGCTCACACTGAGCAGCCTTTCTGTGCCAGTCACAGTGCTTCCTGAGGAACATTCCTGTGAGCAGAGGTCCAGGGTCAAGGCTCAAGGGAGGCTGCTTCTCCGCTCTCTGCAAGGTGGTGCCTTGGGCGATGCAGGATTCCTCTCCTTGCTGGAACTCAGACTCACTTTCTGCTTCCCTTCCCTCCAAACCCAGTCCTCTCCCATACTCAGCCTGCCCCTGGCAAGGCCTCCTCTCTTACCTGGCTCACACATCTGGCAGCACAGTTGTCCCTGAGCCCAGTAGTGCTTCTCTGGGCAGCTCTTGGGGGCTGGGGTAGCCGAGAGTCCCGTTAGAATCCCCAGAACCCACAGCCAACAGGAAGGTGGCCAGGTCATGGCTTCTGCCCAGGTTGCTCTCTGTGCTCCAGTTGCTAACAGCTGGCCTCCGCACTGGGCACTGCTTCCTCTTTGTACCTCCTAGCAGCAGCTGCAGGTCCTTTCTGCGTCGTGCTGTTTCAAGTGGCAAGCTACCCTTCAAGTGGCAGTTGAAGCTGTACTGTGGCTGTTTTTTGTGTGTGTGTGTGTGTGTGTGTTTTTTTTTTTTACAGCAGCAACCTCTTACCCCTCCACCCTTTCTGGGTGCTGGGGAGAGTTGTTAAAGGGCAAACTCTGTCAGAAGACCTGCAGCTCTTTAAAGTGGTCCTCTCCTACACGCAGCTCCTCTGTTTCCGTCTCTTGTACTCACAAAGAATTTAACCCATGGATGTCTGCCTCTTTTATAAAGTGTTGAATGTGCAGTCACCTGTCTCTCCTGTTCACGCACTTGTGTGCAAAGATGCCTACATTACGAACCTGTTCCCAGCGTACAAGCTAATTCGCACGTCCTCTCTCCCATGATAAGCTTTTCTCAAGGAGGTAAGCAGTGTAGAGAAGGAAGGGAAACCAGAACGGAGTCTCTGAAATGGAGTCAGGTAAGTTTTAGAATTCAGAATGTTTTAGATTTTGGGAAGAAACTAGCACCAAAAGACCCCCTCATGGTCTAGGGTAGCCATCAATCAAGTGCAGCATTTCTGCAGCAAAATGGTTAACTATTTAAATAAGTGGAGTGAATAAAGACTATAACTAGCCTTGGTTTTATGGCGAAGAGTTTGCTATGGAAGCGTTAGAATGGCAAGCGAGGGGCTTAAGCCTCTGTCACTCTGTGCTCAGAGATCACACCTGATCTCGTTTAGCCTTCCTGCCAGGCTGTGGTACAGATATCACCCACGGCCCATCTGTCCTTCCCTCATCCCACGATCACCCTCATTGCCCCTTTCCCACCTCTGGCTGTGTCAGCCACTTATGTCCCGGAGTCCCCAGAGCCTCTCCCCTACTAGTCTTGGGTACTGGGGTTAAGGGTCAATGCCTGTGGGTCATTTCTTCCCTGTTTCTATGATTTGGGGAATATCGGGATAGCTGGACTTTCCCCTCTTTGAGTCCTGGGAACACATGGGTCAGACACTGCCCCTTCCTCTTTCTCTGAGGATTGAGGTGTGGGGTGGCTCATTTCTCTAGACCATTTTCATTAAGGGGCTTTGCAGTTGTTTCCACAGGGCTCATAAAATGTCACACCCCTGTGATCTCACTTGTCATATCTGCTCTCTGTCTTACTCTTAGTTTCCTTTCTCTTCATTTTTTCCATCTCTTGCCTTCAGGTGGGTCCTGTCGACTGGGAAGCCATACATGGGTGTGATTTGAATAGTTACTTATGCAAAACCATCCTTTTTGCTGTCGGGCAAGGTGCCTGAATTCCCACCTCAGAATATTAACGGGATCTGAGGATTTTGCTGTCACTAACAGTCCTGCCCCACTCCCAGGTCATGGTCAGTATCTCCACTGTTAAATATCAGGGAGGCCATGGGGAGATGGGATCCCATGGGGATGTGACCCAGGAGGAATGATGAGTTGTTGGGGACCTTTAAGGAGAAATTTGCTGAAGGGGGAAATTGGAGGGCACAGGACTAACAACCTTGACTATACCCTGAGCTGCTCACCCACGTGAGGCCTGTGTTCTTTGTGCCAAAGCCCAAGTCCCATCTTCTGCTCATCACTTTTTCATGGGGGAGAGGGCAGGAGCAGGGTCTGCCTGGCTCTCCTGGAGTAGCCCTGGTCTGGAGAAGGAAAGCTAGATTTCTGGACCTTAATATTCTCCCGCCTTCTGTGCTGTTTGCATCAATTTTTGGTGAGCGTTGGCCTGTCTTAGGCTGGCTTCCTGAACAGTCCCTTCCTCTTGTCTACAGGCCTGCAAGTGCAACCTGCCGAACTCTCCCTCAGAATCTTCCATCGCCTCTTTCTTTTTGGGCTTCAGTTTCCCATACTTCTCTGGCACAGATACGTGGTTTTTTTCAACAGCTCCCTCCTTTTCTTGCATCTCCAGAGAAAAGCCCACAGAAGCCTCTCTTTTGATGATTTTCATTCCTTTTTGTTGATGTTGATCCTCACCGGAGGATATTTTTCCATTGATTTTTTTAGAGATAATGGAAGACGGGGTGAGGGGGAGAGAGGGGCAAGGGAGAGAGAGAAACATCAAATGGTGTTTGGGAGGCCTCCCACATGCACCCTGACCAGGTCTGGGGATAGAACCTGCAACCCAGGTGCATGCCCTTGACTGGAAATCGAACCCATGACCCTCGGTGCATAGGCTGAACTCTAACCATTGAGCTGCGCTAGCCAGGGTGACTTTTATTACTATTAAGATGTTCTGACCAAACCCTCATTCTGGCTGTTTCCTTACCTTTGCCCTGCCACAGGCCCCAAATATGGGACACAGTGCTTTCTTGAATTTTCCTACAAGGCAGCTGTAAAAAGAAGGCTGTTAGGTATGGCAAAATTTTTACTGAAGCTTTATATATTATAAGGATACAACTTAAAATTGCATTTTGCATATTCTTGTACTTTTTTTTAGATTTTTAAAATTATTTTTCAATTACAATTGACGTACGTTATTATATTAGTTTCAGGTGGACACCCCAGTGATTAGACATTACATAACTTACTAAGCAATCATCCCAATAAATCTTGCACCCATCTAATACCATATATAGTTATTAGAATATTGTCTGTATTCCCTGTGCTGTACTTTACCTTCCCATGACTGTTCTGTTACAACCAATCTGCACTTCTTAATCCCTTCACCTTTTTCACCTATCCCCCCAACTCCCTTTCCATCTGGCAGCCATCAAAATGTCCTCTGTGTCTATGAGTCTGTTTCTGTACTGCTTGTTCATTTATTTTGTTTTTAGATTCAATTGTTGATAGATATGTATTTATTGCCATTTTGTTGTTCATATTTTTTATCTTTTTTTTCTTCTTAAAGAAGATCCTTTAACATTTCATATAATACTTGTTTGGTGGTGATGAACTCCTTTCTTGCCTGGGAAGCTCTACCTGTCCTTTGATTCTAAATGATAGCTTTGCTGGGTAGAATAACCTTGGTTGTAGGTCCTTTTCATCACTTTGAATGTTTCTTGCCAATCCTTTCTGGTTGCAAAGTTTCTGTTGAGAAATCAGCTAACAGTCGTATGGGTGGTCCCTTGTAGGTAACTAGCTTTTCTCTTGTAGCTTTTAAGGTTCTCTCTTTGTCTTTAACCTTTGGCACTTTAATTATGATGTGTCTAGGTGTGGGCCTCTTTGGGTTCATCTTGTTGGGGACTCTCTGCGCTTCCTATACTTGTATGTCTATTTTCTTCACCAAATTAGTGAAGTTTTCTGCCACTCTTGTTTCAAATGCGTTTTTAATTTCTTGCTCTCTCTCTTCCCCTCCTGGTACCTCCATGATGCAAATATTAGTATGCTTTAAGTTGTACCAGAGGCTTCTTACACTATTCTCATTTAAAAAAAATTCTTTTATTTCTTGTATTCTTTTAGTTTTTTGTTTGTTTGTTTGTTTGCTGTTCTGATTGGGTGTTTTCTGCTTCCTTATCTTCCCAATCTCTGATTTGATTCTCTGCTTGCATATTCTTGTTCTTAATGGTCCTCCACACCCCTGAGATTAATCAGTGGTCTGACTGCCCTACAAAGCAGTAAAGGCACTGACCATCTTGCTGACACTTCTCTCCCTTTCTACCTCCTTTTTCTTTCACAGACTGACTTTCAAAAATATGTCAGGCATTATATCTCATCTCTCTTTAGCCCCTAATCCCAAACTTAGTCTTGGTTCTTTATAGATCTGTAACCAGAGTCAAAGTACTCCATGGAACTAAACTCTCTCCAAGATTTTTCCTTAGAAGGAAATTCCATTATATTACGTAGATGTCATAAATCACTGTTTGTGATCCTTATCAACCAAACCCCTTAGTTTTTCTAGCCTTCTTTGTCTCCCACTCAATTTCTTATTTCTCCATTCCTACTTTTTTTGATGACCCCCACCCACCCCCAGCTCCCTACTGCTTTAGATCCTCCTTCCCAGAAAGCCTTTAGAGAACAGCTGGGGGCAGGACACTGGGGTGGGCAGATTAACCCAGGTTTGGTTACTCACATCCCCATTCTGTAATTTGCATTCCTGGGACTCCCCAGTCTGGGTTTCAGGGGGACTCACCAGCTGTGGGCATTTCTTCCCATCTCTGATCACTTTTCAGTATTGCAGTCCTAGTTCCTAGTGTTTCCTAGCACATAAAGCACTCACTGTATATTAGATGGTCCAGCCTCAGTCTTGTTCCTTGACAACTGTATCCACAATTATAAAATTGAAATTTCAGGGAGCCCAAGGCCACATTGACCTTCTAAATGCCACTTCTCATTCACTTGACAAGTATTTGTTGCACATCCATTCTGTTCCAGGTAACAAGTAATAGGACACAAAGATGAAAAAAATAAACACGTGGTTTCTGCCCTCATGGAGTTGACACACTAGTGAGAGAGTCAGACATTGATCAAATAACCTCAAAGACAAATGTAAAGTTATTAGTAACAGTCATTATTCAGCAAAATGAAGGGCAGAGTCAGGGTGCAATATAGGTGCCTCTCCACTAATAGGGGGACTTGGGGAGGCAGTGCTTCAACCAGGAAGCAAAATTTACGGAGAGATGTGTGCGATCTGACAGCTCCCACTTTCTGGAGAATGGTTTCTTCCTTTGGTTTCTAGATATCACCCTATTCTTCCTTTGACCACTTCTAGTCTTTGATCAATGATAATTTTTCTTATATACGGATTATATAAAATAGGGACGATCTGTTCCTTCAAGGCTTGGCGTGTGTGTGTGTGTGTGTGTGTGTGTGTGTGTGTGTATTTTGAGTGGAGGCTTTTCGCTACTGATTTAATACAGTTTCTGCTAGAGTCAGTTTTGGTAGGTTATATTTTACCAGGAAGCTGTCTATTGAATTTGTGGGCATAAATGTTTAAAATCACCACTAGATCTGTAGTAATTTCCCCCTTTTCACTCCCAATATTGCTTATTTATAATTTTCTTATTTTTTTCTTGATACAACTTTGCCAGAGATATGTCTAATTTATTAATTGCTTCAAAGAGCCAACTTTTGAGTTTGTTGTGTTTTCCTATTATTTCCTTCTTTTCTGTTTTATTTTATACTTTGTTCTAATTTTTAAATAATTTTCTTCCTTTTACTTTTCTTGGGTTTATTCTGCCATTTTTTTTTTCTAACTTTTTTTTTTTCTGTATCTACGTCTTTTAAAAAAATTTATCTTTATTGTTGAGAGTATTACAGGTGTCCCATTTCCCCCTCCAATTGACCCCCTCCACTTTGCTCTCCCCAGGCCTTCACCCCGTTATTAACTGTGTCCATGGGTTATGCATATAACTTCTTTGGTTAATCTCTTCCCACACTTCACCCCCCTTCCCTCTTTCCTCTGAAATATGATCATTTGTTGCATGCATCAATGTCTCTGGATCTATTTAGTTTGTCAGATTCTTTTGTTCATTAGCTTCTTCTTAAAGAAGACCCTTTAACATTTCCTGTAGTGCTGGTCTGGTAGTGATGAACTCCTTTAGCTTTTTCTTATCTGTGAAGCTCTTTATTTGACCTTCAATTCTAAATGATAGCTTTGCTGGGTAGAGCAATCTTGGTTGTAGTTCCATGGTTTTCATCATTTTGAATATTTCTTGCCACTGTCTTCTGACCTGCAAAGTTTCTGTTGAGAAATCAGCTGACAGTCGTATGGGTGCTCCCTTATTGGTAACTAACTGCTTTTCTCTTGTAGCTTTTAAGGTTCTCTCTTTGTCTTTAACCTTTGGCAATTTCATTATGATGTGTCTTGCTGTGGGCCTCTTTGGGTTCCTCTTGTTTGGGACCCTCTGTGCTTCCTGGACTTGTAAGTCTATTTCATTCCCCAGGTAGGGGAATTTTTATGTAATTATTTTTTCAAATAGGTTTTCAGTTTCTTGGTCTCTTTCTTCCCCTTATGGCACCCCAATAATATGAATGTAGGGGCCTCTTGAGGTTGTCCCAGAGGCTCCTTATATTTCTGGATTCTTTTTTCTTTTTATTCTTCTGGTTGGGTGTTTTTTGTTTCCTCATGTTCCAAATTGCTGATTTGATTCTCAGCGTCCTTTACTCTCCTGTTGATTCCATGTAAGTTATTCTTCATTTCAGTTCCTGTAGCCTTCATTTCAAATTGGTACTTTATTATGTTATCAATTTTCTCAGTTATTTCCCTAATAGTCTGCTTAAAGATCCTTATAAACAAAATTCTGAACTCTGTATCTGTTAGCTTGCTTGGGTCTATTTCATTTAGTTCCTCTTCTAGAGATTTCTTCTGTTCTTTTCTTTGTGACATGTTTCTTTGCCTCCACATTTTGGCTGCTTCCAGGTGTTTCTATGTATGAGGTAGTGCTGATATGTCTTTTGGAATTTGTAGAGTGGCTTTGTGTAGTAGGTGTCTTGTAGGGTCCAGTGGCTCAGCCTCCCCAGCCACCTGAGCTTGGCCTTCTNGTTCACCAAGTGCGCCCCTTGAGTGTCACTTGTGGATGTGGTAGGGTTGTAATCCAGTGTGGTCGAGTCTGACCACCAGGTGCACTGTCTCTGGGGTTTCCGGGGGGGGGCGGTGCAAAGCCAGCTTCTGCCAGTGCCTTGCCCAGGGCCACCCAGCATGAGCTACACAGCAAACCGTAGGTGGCTGCTACTTGTGCTGGGCTTGGCGTTGCCCAGGAGAGGCCAAGCTATGAGCCAATGCAGGCTGCTGCTAGGGCCAGGCCTGGGGCCACTTATCAAGCCGTATGGGGCCCGCTGCTGCTTGTTTGAGAGATTTTAGGGAAGTCCTAAGCATGAGGCTCAAGAGGCCACTTGCATAGAAAAGCCCCTGGAAATGGCCTGGATGAGATGTAGGTGGGGAGGGGAGGGGCCTCCAGGATCATGGGGCGGGGCCAAAGGTGAGTCAGGTGCTGGCGATTCAAATATGGCGCCTGCCTGCCGGCTGTGTGCGGGTGGACTCGCCAAAGGAGCAATGGCTGGTGCCAACCCTTCTGCCTGGGAGGAAGCGGCCCCCCCACCTCTCGCCCGGATCTCAGGCAGGTTAGTTCC